CTGATTTTTTAGTTATTTATATATCCTAGATATTGATAATTTGTTTGAGGAACAGGTGGCAAAATTTTTTTCTCTCATTGTGAGTTGTCTCTTCACTATGTTGGTGGTTTCTTTTGCTGTGTGAAAATTTTTAATAAGATTAGATCACAGAAGTTGATTCTTTGTGACATTTCCTGTGTGACCAGAGATTTTTTCATGAAGTTTTTGCCTACATCAATGTATTCAACATTTCTACCTATTTTATTTTCCATCAGCTTTAGTGTTTCTGTTTCAATAATTAGATCTTTGATCCATTTTGATTTTAGTTCATTGTATGTTGATAAATATGGGTTTAATTTTAAAACTCAACACCATTAATTACAAAGACTATCTTGCTTCCAGTGAAGATGTTTGGTTCCTTTGTCAAAGATAAAGTGGCTGAGAGTGTTTGGAATTGTTTCTATGTATGCTAATCTCTTCCACTGATCTTCACATTTTTTTTCATGTCTGCTTCATGATTTTATTTTATTGTATTTTTAAATCACAGTAGCTTTGTAGTACAATTTCAAGTCAGGGATTATGATGCCTCCAGTCTTGCCTTTGTTGCCTGGAATTACTTTTGCTAGTCTAGGTTTCTTCTGGTTCCAAATGAATTCTAGAATTGTTTTATCTAATTCTGAGAGATATGCTATTGGAATTTTGATTGGGATTGGATTGAATTTTTATAGTAATTTTGGAAGTATTGGTGTTTTCACTATATTGGTTCTTCCTACCCAAGAACAAGGGATATCTTTCCATTTTTTTTGTATCCTCTTTTTCAGAGTACTATAGTTTTTGATGTAAAATTGTTTTACTTCTTTTATTAAATACATTCCTAGGTATTTCTTTTCTTTTTATGGATGCTATTGTGAAAGATGTTATTTCCCTAATTTCTCTCTCAGTAAGTTTGCTATTTGTGTACTGGAGTATTACTGATTTTTGAGTGTTGACTTTGTATAAAGGTATGACACTGAATTTGATTATGATATCAAGAAGTCCTCTGGTGGAACATGCAGGGTCTTCTATGTAGAGTGTCACGTCATCCACAAATAATGATAATTTAGCTCCTTCCCTTCCTGCCCTTATTCATTTTATTTCTTTCTCTTGTATAATTGCTCTGGCTAATGATTTTAGAACTATATTTAATAAGAATGGTGACATAGGATAGCTTTGTTTATTACTGATTTTGGAGTGAAAGATTTCAAATTTTGTCCATTTAGTGTGATGTTGCATGTTGCTTTGTCATAGACGGCTTTTAGAAGATTGACATTCATACTATCTATTCCAATGTTCTGCGGGTTTTTTTTTAAATATCATGAGGGTGTAAGACTTTATCACAAGGATTTTCTGCATCTATTGAGATGATCATATGATTTTTGTCCTTGACTCTGTTAATATGGTGCACTTAATTTATTCATTTTTAGATTTTGAATTATCCATGCATCCCTAGGATGAATCCTACTTGGTCAATAATCTTCTTGATGATTAACTGAATTCTATTTGCCAGTATCTTATTGTGGATTTTTGCCTTTGTTCATTAGGGAGGTTGGCCTGTAGTTCCTTTATTTGGTTAGATCCTTCTCTGGTTTTAGTAACACGGTAATACTCACATCGAAGAATAAGTTTTGGACTATTGCTTCCTTTTCAATTTCATTAAAGAGTTTGAGAAGTATTGGCATAAAAGGCCTTCTCTAAACATCTTGCAGAATTTGGGACTCGGGCTTTTCTTTGTTGTTAGGTTTTTAGCTACATCTTCAATTTCGTTGACTGATACTGATTTATTTAGAATTTTTCTATCTTGTTGATTCAGCTTTAGTAATGCATATGCATGCAGGAATCTGTCTTTTGTGTTTTCCATCTTATTAGTATACAGGTTCTCAAAGTGAGTATTTATGATCTTCTGGGTTTCTGCAAGATCTATTGTGATTTTACCCTGTTCATTCTTACTTGGATGGATTGGAATGCTTTCTTAGCTTTTTTTTTTTTTTTTTTTTTTT